AAGGGAATCAAGTGTCCAAAATAAACAGGGGATCTGGTGTCCTCGACAGGACATCAGTGTGTCGTCACGACCCGCAGGGTTTAATTTGGATTTGTCTGTGCATGTTTTTTTTACACTCCTAGACTTTTTTATCATTGCCATGCATTATAAGACTGATGGACTCCAACGGTTGGACTTAAAAATCATCAAATGTGTTCTACTGAAGAAACAAAGTCACCTACATCTTGGATGCCCTGGGGGTAAGCAGATAAACATCACATTTTCATTTTTGGGTGAACTATCCCTTTAATATATTGCCCCTTTGTGTCTAGTATTAGTCTGATTTGCATTAATAACTACTAGAACTTTAATGGCAATGCAACTCGGACCAATACCTCATTATTGTCACTGTGCTGTGGTGAAACAGAAGATGTGTGAACTATGTGCTGTCATCAATCTGACTTTCAAAGGGAATCAGAGCAGCTCGTGAGTTAAACGGATTACCCCAACCGGCCAAACACCATCAACCGACTCAAAACTGCTCATTATTACTGACCAAAAACACCCTTTGAAGAAATCAACTTCAACTGTAACTTTACAGTCGACTGTAGGCCTGATCTGTACTTTCCCACAGTGAAAATACACAAACGCCGAAGAGTTAGCGAAGAAATACTTTACTATTTTGGTTAGTTGTGGCCACTCCTAACTACTTAAAACTCATTAAACCGCTCAATAAGACAGATACAACTTCATTTAAAGACAACAGCAAACTCAAATACACACTTTCACGGCAATATCATGAACACTACGATTGAAACTCTTTGAAATATACGTTAGGTAAACAACAACAATACAGTAGCACACCTAATGTTATCCGTTTAACAACACTATGAAAGGCATATCAAATTATTTTTATACTACTAAAATGTGAGAGGGGTAATATCGCATGTTCATAAAGACAAAACTTACATTAAAAACAGTAAACAGGCAAATGTTTTTTCACATATCCAATCCTCGCTCTTTTCCTGCGTCTCCTGTACGCGAATCTGCCAACACTGTCTTATGAATATTAATTACGTAATGTGACGTTGTCTCGGTTGACCTATCTGATTGGCTGAAAAGGGCTGGTTCTATGTTGAATATTCATTGCGTTATACTGGACCCCATAGAAAGGTTGAAAAGCAACTTTTCTATGACCAAATTAATATGAATAAGCAAAGCGTGTCTCTCCAGTTACGTGTCCACTGCAATGAAAAAAGAAAGAAAAATGTTCAAAACCATCAGGTCTGCCGCTTTGGGGCGCGCGGCCATAACCAGCTCATAAGAACACACATGCATAAAAATGACTTTTATTAAAACAATCTGTTTGAAACCTAACCTCAATTTAGCTGTTTAGAGTAGCAGGTTATGTCAGATTATTTGCACCCATGGCAGAGCAATAGACGAGAGAAATACCTGATATTGAAAAATTATTGAATTCACAGAATTATTTTACTTTTTTTATTTTAATACACATAGGCTACATTTATAAAGTCAGAACACAACCCTATGGCTTAGTAATCCATCTTTTGCTTTATATGTTCCTGATTTATATGATTTATGTGATCAGTCAATCCACAGATAAAGATAGGAATGAACATGACTCTTACCTGCTCACCTCAGATTAGACAGAATACAGTATAATTATCATGACATGAGTGCATTAACCTCTAGATACACTTTATAATGTCAGTGAATTATTCAGAAATCACTCTGCTTGGCATTGTTCATCAGACATTTCATCTTCAAGAAATGAAGACAACAATTGCAACCAAAGACAAAAAGCAAAATGAGTCGGGTGGAAATCACATTCACGGAAGCACAGGCAGAGTAATTTATTACAAAATGTTTATTTTAACATTTTAATACTACACGGAATCATGTGCTTGAACTTGGTATAAAAAATACTAAACACACTATCAAATATTAAAATAAATCTATGTATAACAATATTCTGCTACAGTTGGAAAAAGGTCTACATTTAAGATCATATCTCCCACAAATGTATCAGAAGAATGAGGCAGAATATCATTCATCTTGTCATATATATATACAGTAACACCATCTCAGAAGTCAGTGTGCATCAACAAACATCTCACAGAGAATGAAAATGTAGATTAGAAAATGTTTCATAGAAAAATATCAGTGAGAAAGAGAAACAAGAGAAGACCATATTGATATTATACATTCAACTCTGGATCCACTTTGGAGCTTACTCTAGCCAGGAACATACACCTAACCCTTGAAATAGAGAGGTCACAATACAGTTACGGTGAAATCCAACATTCCTCAATACCTGTTTTGGTACTACAGCACAAAATAATGCTGATCGCTTTAATAAATATTGTTGTAAGTGCTCCAAGCACTTTTAAAGAAAAGTCAGCTATAATAAGAACAAAGACGAGAAACCTATGTACATATCTTACAAATTACATAAAAATTTTACATACATATTTACATGGAAAATATTTTAATGCATACAAATATACAAGTTTGAATAATTCTTAGGCCACTTCAAGTACTTCAAAGTAGAATTCAGCATAGTTTGTCAACCATAAACAACATACCATAATATCAATGGCACAGCATCGCTGATATCAAAAATACATCCAGCCCAAACCATGATAATGTGCAACAGTTTCTGCTGCTAATAGTTAAGCAGACAAGGAAATGTTTCATACCATGAAAACCTCTGCCCAATGAGAAAAGTTCAGTAAGATCTTTTAAAAAGTGCAGTTCCCTTAGTTGATCTCCTCTTCTTGATGCTCCTCGCTGTTCCCAGCTACTTTTCTCAGACTTTCCATTTCATGGGATTCTTCTACCCTCTGGTTCAGATCTATACTGGTATACTTTGTACCAGGAGTCCCATTATAATCTGACGGCATCTGCAATTAGAAGAAAGCACATATTCTTAACAGTACTTACATTACATCTTTATAGTTTTACTTTGTCCACATTAAATGTCAGTGTTTTAAAAATTATTGTATTACTAAACCAAATTCACATTTAATCATACAAACTCACCTGAGAAGCCGTCTGAGACTCTGTGCTGACAGCTTTCACTGAGATGTGAGAGAGAAAAAGATTTGAGGATTAGTTACAACTGATCACCCTCAGTTAATGCACAGATACGGCAAATATAAAACAAAAAGCATGATGGATGATTCATACATAGGGATAAAATCCACTCCTGGTCATACTCACATGGTGCAAAAATAGACAAAACCAGCAGTGCTACAGTAAAGAGCCACTCAGACGGAAAGACAATGATTCGCAAATCTCCCACCAGACGTACACCATGAACTGTGGAAGGAGATTCATTTTCAACAAACAGTATGTTTTGATCCTACATGACTTTATGAATCTCATTATGTTTAAAATGTGAGAGGGGTAATATCGCATGTTCATAAGGACAAAACTTACATTAAAAACAGTAAACAGGCAAATGTTTTTTCACATATCCAATCCTCGCTCTTTTCCTGCGTCTCCTGTACGCGAATCTGCCAACACTGTCTTATGAATATTAATTACGTAATGTGACGTTGTCTCGGTTGACCTATCTGATTGGCTGAAAAGGGCTGGTTCTATGTTGAATATTCATTGCGTTATACTGGACCCCATAGAAAGGTTGAAAAGCAACTTTTCTATGACCAAATTAATATGAATAAGCAAAGCGTGTCTCTCCAGTTACGTGTCCACTGCAATGAAAAAAGAAAGAAAAATGTTCAAAACCATCAGGTCTGCCGCTTTGGGGCGCGCGGCCATAACCAGCTCATAAAAACACACATGCATAAAAATGACTTTTATTAAAACAATCTATTTGAAACCTAACCTCAATTTAGCTGTTTAGAGTAGCAGGTTATGTCAGATTATTTGCACCCATGGCAGAGCAATAGACGAGAGATATACCTGATATTGAAAAATGTCCCCATGGTGTTTAGATTATTGAATTCACATAATTATTTTACTTTTTTTATTTTAATACACATAGGCTACATTTATAAAGTCAGAACACAACCCTATGGCTTAGTAACCATTTTCAACAAACAGTATGTTTTGATCCTACATGACTTTATGAATCTCATTATGTTTTGTTCACTCACCTGCTTTCATTATCAGTTCTGTCATCAGTGCAGCAGAGTTCACTAAAACAAGACCAGCTGATCCATACAGGAACAACATTTTCCTTATACGGAGCTCTGTAGGGCAGAGTTAAACATTTTTGTTCAATTCAATTCAAGTTTATTTGTATAGCGCTTTTTACAATACAAATCAAGAAAATTACGTTTCTACAATATTTAGTAGTAGCTTATCAGTGGTGACTGTCAGTTTATGTAAACAAAAATAATTGTACTGATTTACATTAAACATTTATTATTATTATTATTATTATTATTGGTATGCCCTTTAAAAATCAGAACTAGTGATGGCAATGAATCTTTCATGAATTATACAGAATTGTACAATGGTCTAAACTGATTCACGATTCAGTTCAATTCATTTGGTCTGAATCATTTAATGCAGTTCTAAATTCATTGTTGGGATACTTAAGAGAGAACACTGGATAAATAAACTGAAACTTGTTTTTGGGGAGGGGGGGTGCAGTTCATTAAGGAATTGTGAATGAGTGAATTAGTGAACGAGTTAACAATTTTAGACACAGCAACACTTTTCTGATTGGCTGCAGTATAATAATCCCCAGAATCAGAATCACAACACTCATCCAGACCTTAAGCTTTGTGGATGAGAATGAAACAGGAGGACTGACATGAACAACAGATGAACAAGAAAGAAGCTGATCGGTACTTTACTCTGATAATAGACTGGGACTTCAGAAAACGCAAGCACCCACAAGGCTTGAACAAATCCTGCCACACAGACCGGTCCTGCATCAGCTGTAAATGAAAGAAAAGGTCTTTATTAAAAAGCAGAAAAGTCTTATTTATTGCTCATGTTTATTAGAAAGAGACCTACAAATTATTTTATATTCAACAGACAATGTTAAAAATGAACTTTTAGCAAAGATAAATGTACACTTACATACTTGTAATTTGTAAACAGCGTTTTAATATCTTTAATTATTAGAGATATATTCATACCTTCTTTATTTCTCGAGAGCATAATGTAAAAATACACCATTACTCCAGTCATCACAATCATCATTGACCATATGAATATATATAGAATACGTTGACCTGAAAAGATGAAAGAAACAGTGAAAACATGCTACAACTCATTCCATTGAGGACCAGCACTTGAGAGACTTGTATTGATGGTAAAGAGAAACAAAACCAGCTCTGACACTTTGTGTACATTCAAAAAAATATATTTTTTTTAAATTACAGTAAATGTGATATTTGTATCCTTTATGAAATGTATCAATCTACTGATTTATTTCTGCAGTCATAACAGAGCAGAATATAATTTCTCATACTTACAGCATTGATCTGCACTTTTTGCTCTATTACAAAATAAATAAGACATCCAATGAAGTGCTGGAAGAGCCGTAATGATGAACACTAAAAAAGAGAGAGGCACTTAAGAGTAAAGAATTAAATTGTCACAATAACTATATGACTGGCTTCTTCTTTCATTTCTATTTATGGTGAAGTATGTGTAAGAAGCAGACAAATGTTCCTCAAGCATGTCAGTTCATTCTCAATCAGTCTTTGCTCAAGTCTAAAATGTTCTTGCTTACCTGCACCGAAGGCAAAACGAGTGTAGAGCAGAAGGGCGAGCTGTAATGAAGGCAGCCATGAAAAGCCACAAGTGGCCACAAACTGTTGAACTCTATTGTATATCCTTCTGCTCGACTCTCCAGAGCATGACAGCACCTTCTCTTTAACTAATTCTATTAAAAAACAAAATTATAAAAACAAATATGTGAATTCAATAATTTACTGCATATCACCAATAAGCAAATGTCCTAAATGTCCATCATTTGAATTTCAGTTTTTAAATAATCTTCTATGGACATAAATCATCAAAAACAATGCCGTGAAAGAACTTTTTGGTCATACGTGGTTGTGTAAATGGCGGTAAAATTAATCTGAAATATTAAAAAAATGTGAAATATAAGTTTCCTTTATTAAGAAGCAGACAAATGTTCCTCAAGCATGTCAGTTCATTCTCAATCAGTCTTTGCTCAAGTCTAAAATGTTCTTGCTTACCTGCACCGAAGGCAAAACGAGTGTAGAGCAGAAGGGCGAGCTGTAATGAAGGCAGCCATGAAAAGCCACAAGTGGCCACAAACTGTTGAACTCTATTGTATATCCTTCTGCTCGACTCTCCAGAGCATGACAGCACCTTCTCTTTAACTAATTCTATTAAAAAACAAAATTATAAAAACAAATATGTGAATTCAATAATTTACTGCATATCACCAATAAGCAAATGTCCTAAATGTCCATCATTTGAATTTCAGTTTTTAAATAATCTTCTATGGACATAAATCATCAAAAACAATGCTGTGAAATAACTTTTTGGTCATACGTGGTTGTGTAAATGGCGGTAAAATTAATCTGAAATATTAAAAAAATGTGAAATATAAGTTTCCTTTATAAAAAATGCTATTTTTATAAAGAAAAAAAAGGTTAATGTTGCGTTTTCAATAGTGCATTACTACAAGATGAGGATAATGGATAATGCTCCATAATGGATGATCACTCACGTATAATGAAGAGGAGACACATCAGGACAAGCAAACCAAAGCTGACTGTGCTGAAGACTGTGCTGATGTTTGGAAAATGTTCAGCTGAAAGTACTGACACAGATATATATTCATTTAAATAAATATTCATTTCAACACATGACAATTAGCTTGGAGGATGAACAATAACCAATTGTACAAATACAAATACACTACTTCAGAACTACAACTGACAGACAGACATTTTATTTTGTTTCTTTTTTTCCATGGACATTTTTGTTTCAACTTTTACTTAATCCCAAAAGTTAAGATTTTTTTTTGTTGTTGTAATTTTATCAATTCAAATACATTGGATAAACTAAGGATAAATGAAGTTTAGTTCACTAGATTATTTACAGTGTGGGTTTACCTGAATACATCACTACCATAAACGCTGCATGATCAGCATGTGCAGTCATGATATACTTCAGGATTTTATCTGCAAAAATAAAGTTGTAAAATCATGTAAAGCACTAAAACAGTAATAAAAACAAATAATAATAATTGTCTAATCCCTTTAGTTTAATGTATAGATATGACAAATCTCAGTAGACACAGGTATTATGTAATGTCTGATTAACAGTGTTACACAGCATTTTATTTTAAAAACCAACCTGGCAAATCTGTGGTTAATGGTTTAACCCAAAACAACCTCAGAGGCCCCAGAATATAGAGCATGCAGCAAGAGACGGTCTCATACAAAGAACCTGAAACACATTATTTTGGTGATGAAAAAGAACTCAGAAATGTACAAATATAATTGGTATAAATCAATTATCTCTTAAATTCAGTTCTTTAGACAGAACTGAATTAAGTTGTAAAGTCTATGCTGGATTTACTGTAGATAAAGTCCAGATGAAATACCTTCAATAACACACCATATGATTGAAGCCAACAGCATAGTTATATCCAGGCAAAGGAAAAGACAAACTTGAAGACACAGCCTTTTTTCTACAGTGAAGATACATATGGATTCCAGTTAGAAATTAAAATTATTCATAAATAATATTCATAATAATAACTGAATGCATTTTTGAAGCCTATTTCTCCTAAAAAAAAAAAAATCACACCTTGATTTCCTGTTCTGGAGTAAACAAGCAAGGAGAGAAGTGCAGATCCAGATGCAAAAATACAGAGAATCAACGCAGTTATGTGTAGCCAAGAGAAACCTGTGATACAAACATCAGATACACAGTAGCGTAAGTTGACACTAAACAGCTAAATGGAACCCAGGTACTGAATTCTGGATAATATATTTTGATTTTTTTGCTGCCGTAACACTCTAGAAAACAAGGTTTGATTAGGGTTCTGTGTAGAATTTTCTCTACTCAACTCAACAGGACATTTTGTGTCAAAAAAGGTGCTACAAAAAGAAAAACGCAACAAAGAACCTTTCTGGCACAAAGAGGTCTAGATCAGTGTTTCTCAATGATTTCCCCCCCCCCCCCCCCTTCAGGACACAGGTTTACATCTTTTTGTGCATTTATCAAGTGATACAACAGTTTCCAATATTATTGATTGTACAAATATAAACAAAAAATAAACTCTCAATAAAATCATTAATTAAAATGAAAAATGTAAATCAAATGAACTTTGTTAATACTATCACAAAATGCATAGGCCCATTAATTTAACAAAAACAAAATCCATTACCATGTTTGGAAGTTAGAAACGTTTCTATATACATTAGGTTACAAAGTAGAGTTGCTCTTTCTAAATGATATTTTATATGGAACTCTTTAGTGGTTCCTGTACTATATAAACTTTGTGATTGATCCCTTTAGATTTATGAATTACAATTTATTCAAAGAGTATAAAAATGTTAAAAGCACAAGTTTGTCAGGTTCACATTGTTTTCTTAGTTATCTGTTACTCACCCAGTCTCTCCAGTACTACAGTTGCATTGGCTGAAAGTCCTCCAGCAAACACTAAACACATGTAAACTCCTTTATCCTCAGTTCTGACACTCTTCAGTCTGAGAGAGAAGTTTCCTTTGGGGATCTCAGCAGTGAAGAACTCAACTCTGTCTCTGTATTGCCCATCTGATGAATCTGAGAAAGTCTCATTGTTTTGGTAGAGCAGAATATCTTCATCTGTTTTCTTCCATGAAACCTCCATGTCTTCAGGTTTGATGTGAGAGTCTACAGAGCAGCTCAGAGTGAAGTCCTCACCATCATATGCAGAAACAGACTGATCTGATGTACACTCGCAGGAAGTGTGATGTAAATGTGTGCAGCCCATAGACTGTATAAGCCTAAACGAGTGTGTGGCGTGATCGAGACGAAATATAAAGTTAGAGAATAGATCCGACATTTTAAAGATTTTAGCAAGATTAAAATCTCCTTAAAATTGTGTTCAGTTAGGTTTAAAGTACTTTAAGCTATTAGCACAAAATAAATATAAATATAATTATTGATATTGCGCATCATTACAAACAGTAACTCATAATATAGATTAAAGCAGAACTGTTCCGCATATACAATTAATAATAATAATAATAAAAAAGATTAAAGCAGCACTATGTAACTTTTGGCGCTTTAGCGGTTAATAAACAGAACTGCACACATCCCGCGGAAGAACATTCTAACCGGAGCTACTTCTCTAAGTTTATGTCTATGGCGAATCACGCAGGTGTGTGTTACTCCGCAGCGGTGACGACCCGACCAGGCTACAATAGTCCAAATATAAGTACTTATTATAAGTGTACCGTAGTGATTCGGAATAAGACAAAAACACGGTTTGGAAGATGAATTCATGATGTACTCGCTCGTTATATACATTTAGCAAATTTTGAACACAGAAAAAGTTACATAGTGCTGCTTTAAAGCTGCAGTCCGTAACTTTTTTTGTGTTCAAAATGTACAAACTTTCAATAATAAGCGAGTACACCATGAATCAATTTCATTTTCCAAACAATGTTTTTGGCTTGTCGTGAATCACTACGGTACACCTATAATAAGTGTTTATATTCGGACTGTTTAAACTCGGGTAGGTACCGCTGCGGAGTAACACATACCTGCGTGATTCGCCATAGACGTAAACAGAGAGAAGTAGCTCCGGCTACAATGTTCTTCCGCTCTGCTTTAAAGCTGCAGTCCGTAACTTTTTTTGTGTTCAAAATGTACAAACTTTCAATAATAAGCGAGTACACCATGAATCAATTTCATTTTCCAAACAATGTTTTTGGCTTGTCGTGAATCACTACGGTACACCTATAATAAGTGTTTATATTCGGACTATTTAAACTCGGGTAGGTACCGCTGCGGAGTAACACATACCTGCGTGATTCGCCATAGACGTAAACAGAGAGAAGTAGCTCCGGCTACAATGTTCTTCCGCAAAACGCATGCAGTTCAAAGTTACGGACTGCAGCTTTAACATGATTTATTTTAATTTTTTGTCAACTGAAAAAGGTGGTCTTATAGTCCCATCCAGTGGTCAACAGAGGAGTTGGCAGTGGACCTGATATTAAATAAGTGAAATTCGATCATATCAAGAAAAAGCCTGCCAATAACTAATGGCTTCAGATAAAACGAGAGATTATGTGTTTGAATATGAGATAAGCACTTTAACTGCAGTATTTTATTAGTGGCGAACAAAGAGCTCTCTCATGCTGTTTCTTTATCAAAGTTTGAGAAGTGTTTTGTAGGGCTTTCTTTCCAGTCGTCCGGTACTGAGCATCATACTCTTATCAGCAGAAGTAAAAGAAAAAGTGAGGTGTGAACTGTCATAATGTCACCTTTTCTGAGGTGGGATTGAATTCATTTAACCAACATTAGCAGCAGCCAGAGTCCAGAGAGTCATGACAAAAGCAGAGCAGTATCCAATGGGAACGTGATATAATGCCATTAAAAAAAAACCTGATAAGCTCAGAATGGATCTAATGAGGTTTTTATGCTTGTGTCAACATGGCCAAAACTTGCCTGTTGTCACTCTGGAGTAGCAGAGATAGTCAGAGAAGAATTTTGTGTTTGTGTGTGTGTCTTCACTACAGGAATATACAACTGAGGAGGAGGTGAGGAGAAATAAGAAACAGTCTGTGACACATTTCAAATAGATATTTCATATAATTTATCATGACATAAACGTCATTCATTTGCATTCAGTGATATATATACGTTGAAAAATGTAAGATGTAAGACGCATTTATGCATTTGGCAGAGGTTTGTATCCAAAGCGACTTACTTTGCATTCAATGTGTACATTTTATCAGTGCATTAAACACGGCTGAGGCACAGAAATGAATGCTATTTTGCAATTGCATTAATTACTTTAGGAAAAAATAAATGGAAAATAACTATGGGTCTTTCAGTTGACAAGCTAACCTATGTAGCCTATACTATATACTATAATATTAACTATTATCGCACACTTTTATAGTCAAGCCAAGTCACCTTTATTTATATAGCACTTTATACAATACAGATTGAGTTAAAATAGCTATTTAGGGACAAACAAGAAAATAGCGATTCAATAATGCAAACAAAATTCAATTCTTCTGTAAAGCTGAAGTAAACGGTCAATATTCAGTTGAAATAAGTTCATTGTTGATTCAGTTCAGGTTAATAAGTTCATCAATTATAAAATGAGTTTAATTAATCTATAAAGCAGCTCAGCTCAGTTCTCATCAGAACTTCTTACAGGCTGTATATTGGATAATATTGCAAATCTCAATTGCTTGATTGTTTATTTTGTTGTAAAATGTAACTTATTACCTATTTCTATATATAAAAAGTTGTATGTATACACACACACACACACACACACACACACACATGCATACATACAGTAAACTCATGTAGGGTGAAATGTTTTAGAAACATTTAAAAGTGTGCGACTGTTAAAGAAGCATGTATTGTAATCATTATGGTAATGTTACTTTTGAATGTTCTCTGAAACAAGTAGTAACATAAAAAAAAAAAAACTAGACAAACACGTTTCAAGAAATGTTTTTCCATGAACAATGTATAAATAGCGTATAAATAAGTGCTAACGTTTTGAGAACATTATTAAAGACCAGAGAACATTGAACAAACATTTGTTCATAACTTTAAGAGAACCTTGCCAGCATGTTCTGAGGACATTCCCTATTAGCTGGGTATATAGCAAATCTCAGCTGCTTGATTGTTTAGATCATTGCAAAATGTAAGCTATATTATGTCACAGCTCTAATCCAATGAAAGTGATTTGAATGCATAAAGGTATTAAAAGACATTAACATCATGATTTTTTGTAAAGCTGCTTTGATACAGGGTGTATTGTGACAAGTGCTATACAAATTAATTTGACTTGACTTTGAGGCCATGTTAGTGATCATACATGCAACCAAATACAGGTAAAGTGAGTGAAGTAGGTCTATTATCTCCAAAAAGACACTCAGTCTCACAGTATAGCATTGTATATGCACCTTACACATTCACCAAACACAACAGAGCCATCAGTATGAAGTATGGATCCTCTGTCTGTATGATCTTTCTCAAAGCCTCACGCTGGGTATGAAAGGAAACGGCCTCCATTCCCTGCTCCTCCTCTTCCTGTATCTGTGTGTTTCCCTTCTTCTGCCCAGATCATCCTACACTTTATTTTACCATCTTTATGATGCCCTTTCTCCATCGATCTGTGGAAACTCCACAGATGTGTCGGCCTGTATTTTATAATAATCCAAACATACTCAACTTATCTACGGACATTTATAGACCTATCAGAGAAGATAATAAAAGGAAAATGTTACTTTGATGCAGCTCTGATAAAAATGGATAGTTCCCCAAAACTATCCATTCTTGTGTTTTTTCCAAACTTGTATGACTTCATTTTTCAAAAAAAAAAAGAAAGAAAAGAAAAGTAAGTTATGAGAGAAGTTTCATTTTCCGGTGAACTATGCCTTTAAGACTCCCACGTCCAGGGAAGACTGATTAGAAACCACAGTAATACCAAAACACATGGATAATATGAAACTTCCTTTTCCTCCTTAACTGCCTGCCATACTCTCTAACTTTCTGCTTTTAGAAGGAAACAAACTACCATTGTCCACATGGAAGCCTATTTCTGCCACATAAGAAAACAAAGCATGCCATAAAAAGTCATAATTATAAAATAAGTCGAATTAATGACATTAAAAGTTGAAATTATGAGATACTAAGTCATACATAGTCAAACATTAGACTTTGTAATAATTGTGACTTTTTATCTCATAATTTCATTTTTATCAAATTTGACTACCTCATAAATATGATATGATATGATAATTTTGACTTAGTATGGCATAATTTCAGTTAATTTTTCTCATGAACTTTTACTTTTTGTAAGGGAAAAAATACATGCTTTGGTAATTCAAAATGACCAAATTATGAGATACGTCAAAATTATGACAAAAAGGGGAAATATTAAGTATAATACTAATTACATACTAAGTCAAAATTATTACATCATTATGACTTCATCTCAATTTCAACTTTTAAGCTCATAATTATGACTTAGTATGTCATAATTTTGAAATCTTAATTTTTATTTCATAATTTTCTTTTTTCTCAGAAATGTGACTTTTTATTTCAGAATTATGATATTTATGTCAATTTCAACTTTCTTTGTCATAATTTTGACTTAACTCATAATGTTGACTTATCTCATAAAAATGACTTTTCAATGTCATATTTATGATTTACCAAAGCATTTTTCATATGTGGTGGAAATGTACATCCATACTTGTTGATATAAATTAGATTAAAAATAAATAAATAAATAAATAAATAAAAGTAGGAAAGCTGCGTGAGTGATTCTTACACAAACCAGCACATGGATATTTGTTAAAAGTCTAAATATACATCCTCAAATGCATCCACTTTAGTTAATCAGCACCGCTGACAGTCATCATTATGCTGTAAAATGTTCTCTGCCTCACAGATGTATCTTGCCTTCTGGGGTTTGAGTTCAGCGTGTGACTTTTATTACTAGCTACCTGGCCTACCACTTATGTAATTTGTGCAATTTCGTGTAAGTCACTGTGATAAGAAAGCATCTGTAAGGATCACTGATGTAACTGTGCTTTCAGAGACATCATGCGGTTCAAATTGAACATTAGTGAAGAACATGCTCTCATAAAGCCTGCCAGTCACATATCCCACACAATAACCTTCTCATTGCTGAAGAAAGAAACAGTTTTGAACTAAAAACTGCCTGTCTATCAGTTATTAGAA